CTTTGCATTGATGAAAGTGGCAACCACTTTAAATAAAAGGAAAGAAGAAATCTTCTCAACGGGGTACCATCACCAAATGGACACCCTTTATAAGCGTATGTACTAACTACAAGCATCTCTATGCAGAAAAAGGAAATCTCCATGTCACTAACATTATTTTCACCCTCGACGCATGTACATAATGTTGGGGTTTCGAAAATGTAACTTCATTCTAGACGGTTGCACTGGCTGGGTAATAGAAAACGCTTCACACATGCGCATGTTTTATCGTAAGGTCATTGTCAGCACCCAAGCAGACATATGCGTATGTCAGTACAGGCAATTCGTGACTGCCATTTGGCTAACCATAAAAGAACGTATTGGAAGATGAAAAGATGGAGAACGCGAGGGGAAATGGCTTAAGCACGTTAAATGATCATCCGAGGGGGATGGGCAGTAGAGGGGAAAGACGCATAGGGGCAGTGTAAAATGGGAAAGTAGCGAAGGGTAAAAAACTGCACACTATATACTACGTGAGAAAGACCGAAACAGTCCAGGTTACAACGCAGTACGAAATGCACAAAAGAAAAATTCGCTTGCACAAAATGTAGTGGAAACTATGGAAAGAACTACGAGTAACATAAAGCAGGTAGCTAGTTTAGATAAAAGTAAAACGTATCAAATATGACAAGGGGGTATGAGAGTGAGTTACTATTTCTTCTGTGTACGTGGCATTATCCCTTTTGGCTTCTTAAATTTACACTGTGAAGCAGTGGGAGTTAAGGAAGGGGGAGGGGCCAAGAGAATAGTATTTCAATTTTGTAGAAGCGGGCAACAGATTGTTACAAAATTGAACATGTATGCAGAGGTAGGAGTAACAATGGGTAGAACCCACGGGGGGGTGGAGGTAACAGATGTTAGGAGCAACGGCTGGGCGGGAAAAGAGGAAGTCCGAAAAAGCGGCCATACTGGGAGGAATCACAAAAATGGTGAAAAAATAAAACAAAATAAATTACAAAAATTAATAGCACTAAAATAGATAGAAAAAGCAGATACATACATTTGGTCCACGATGTTTTTTTTTTTCTGTTTTTTTTTTTTTAATGCCCTATTATCAGCCTTTTCATTTTGCTCACATCATT